GCGCCCTGGGCGCTGGGTTGCGGCTGTGCGGGGAGCGTGGCGTGCCTGCCAGGCGCCCCTTCCAAAGATGCTTGATCTCAAAGAAGATGAGAAGTGAATGAGCGAAGGGAAAAGTTTCCTTTCTCCTCTTTCTGCCTGTTTGAAACCGAATCACAGCTTTAATTTTAAAGATTCGTTTGGAAAATAACCGACCCCAAGTGGTGCGCCATAGGTAATAATAATGGGAGGGTTGAGATAAACTTGTCCTATGTTCCAAAATACCTGCTGCGTCGAAATACTTTCAATGAAATATACTGATTTCAGGGGGTGTGGAATTATTCTGGAAATTAGATATATGTATTTAAAGCATACACATTTTAACGTTTTAAACCATTTTAAAATAGTTTTTTTCCCCCCTAAAAACTAAAACAGAAATTGTGGCAGTGTTCAATCGGGGATAAAAACGATGTTAAGGCACAATATTAGCTTATTTCGTGAAACTAATGTTTTAAACGAATTTTTTACATTTATAAAATCCACAACCTTAAAAAAATGTGTAATGAATTTATTTTTAAGCTGCACACTCGTTTAGAAAATAATTTTAAGAGTTCATTTTAAGAGTACAATTAGGATAAAGCTAAAAAAAAGTGCCGTAACTAATACAGCACTGTTTAGAAATTCTTGCTGAAGTTATAATCTTAAATTACTTGAGTTTTTTCCTTCCTTTTGTGTGTCATTTATCAAAAGAGCCAGATAGAACCAAAAGAACAAAAAAAAAAGAAGATAAGAAAAGGCAAGTGAACACCAGCAATTTATTTTGGGGTGATTTCTTAGGCTACAGGGGGTGCCACCAGTTGTAGTGTTATGTTGTACATATATTGATCAGATATTGAATGCCAATTGTATTCATTGTCAGAAAATGATAACGTGAGATATATTTGGAACTCAAGTGTTTTTATGGGGTGCCACATACACTCTGAATGAACTGTGTTGTAATAAAACATATTAAATGTATAGATCTGCCATTAACTTACAGTGACTCTGGACACACACCCATCCTCTGGTCCTTAGTTTCTTCATTTATAAAGTAAAGGGATTAGACTAGGTGATTGAAAAGACTTATTTCAGCCAGAAATGATATGTCTCATGATTATAACTTTTTAAAAGTAACCAAAATGAGTTCACTAAGAGAAAGTATGACTGAACCCTGTCTCCATGTTCTTATTTCCATGATGAATGACATCAGCAATCATCCTGTATTGAACGCCTGCTGTGTAACAGTCCTGAGAAGCTCTTTACATAGATCATTTTATTTAACACTCAACAGCACCACCATACATTAAATGGCATTATCCAATTTACAAATAATGACTCTGAAGCATGGAAAGGTTAAGCTCCTTGTCCTAAGTTCCCCAGTTAGTAAGGGCTGGGTCATGGGTCCCCCCACCACTTCCCCCCACTTCCCAGTGCTCTGAGCATCTACACTATACTGAATGTTACGATTAAAAGCTGAAACCACCTGTAAACACCAGCTAAGAAATAATGACTAAAATGTAAGACCATAATGGGATGAAGGTCCATTATGTAACAACACTGAGTCTTGATATCATCAGATATAGAAATGATGTATCAATCAACATTTATCATATTTTCATAACAGTTGTAGTGTTATGTTGTACATATATTGATCAGATATTGAATGCCAATTGTATTCATTGTCAGAAAATGATAACGTGAGATATATTTGGAACTCAAGTGTTTTTATGGTAATAAGAAGAATGATTACAAATGTCATGAAAGGTAGAGGCTAATGTTAAGCAAAAGCATTTCAGACGCTTTCTACTTGGCAGTGTTCTTGCCCCAGCTACACCCAAAGAAAGAGAGTGGTCACAGCAGAACTAGCTGTGACTAAACCCTTCTGACCATATTCCCATGATAAATGATAATATATGCATCATTTATTGACTGTCTACTCCAGGGGTCCTGAAACTACGGCCCTTTATTAGCATAGTTTATATTTAGAATTTTTTGTTATATTTATTAATTCTCCCACACTTTGCAGGGGTCCTCAAACTACGGCCCGCGGGCCACATGCGGCCTGCCGAAAACATTTGGTTTTTTTTACTTCAAAATAAGATATGTGCAGTGTGCATAGGAATTTGTTCATAGTTTTTTTTAAAACTATAGTCCGGCCCTCCAGCGGTCTGAGGGACAGTGAACTGGCCCGCTGTTTAAAAAGTTTGAGGACCCCTGGGACTCTACTCCATGCCAGGAATTCTCCTGGGCCTTTTGAATAGACTAACTTTATATTTAATGATCAAATGCTATTATCCTGATTTGTAGGTGAAGAAACTGGAAGGACCCACCAAGAAACACATTTTGCCTTTAAGTCTGCGATCTTTCACTGTTCAGAAATTATAGGCTGTGAACACAATACCGAAATCCTTAAACCCTGGAGGAGACTTTGAGCAAACTAGACCTACCCCTTTGTTTTATATCTGGGGAAACTGAAACCTTAAAAATTTGAGACTTAAAGTCACAGATTCTATTTTTCCAGTGATGATTTTAGTTATTTGTATC